GATCTTCTTCAATCTTTTTTTTTTCAATATTCTATAGTTTTCATTGTAGAAGTCTTTCACCTCCTTCATTAGATTTATTCCTAGGTTTATTTTGAATGGGATTGTTTTCTTGATTTCTTTCTCAGCATATTCATTGTTGGTATATAGGAAAGCTATTAATTTTTGTATATTGGTTTTGCAACCTGCCACTTTGTTAAATTTGTTTATTGCCTCTAGGAGTCTATTGGTGGAGTTTTTGTGTTTTCTAGGTAAAGGACCATATCATATGCAAACTGATAATTTGACTTCTTCCTTTCTTGTTTTTACCCTTTTATTTCTTTTTCTGGCATTATTGCTCTAGATAGAATTTCTAGTACTGTAATAAATAGAAGTGGTGAGAATGGACATTCCTGTCTTGCTCCAGTCTTTAAAGAAAATGCTTTCAGTTTTTCCTCATTTACTATGAAGTTGGGTTTGTGTTTCTCATATATAGCCTTTGTGATGTTGAGGTAAGTTGCTTCTGTCCCTAGCTTTTATCATGAATAGTTGCTGAATTTTGTCAAAGGCTTTCTCTGCATCTCGCTATTTTTAAAAGTATGTTTTAGTACTTTTACTCCCAAGGACTGTCTTTTCATTGAGAAGCTGTTTTCTCACCATCAAGGAATGATTTGGTTGTCATCTATTAAAATGAGAAAAGTGCCATGTATCAAGGGTAACTCCTATGAAATACTTTATGAATCCAAATGCAATAAGTTTTTCCTTTGATATTTTTACCTTAACACATTGACAGTTCTAGTATCAATCAATCCTGGACAGGAAATGGAGTTGGTGGGGTGGAAGAAGTATTGAAAATGCATAGAAGGGTGGAGCAAGGTGATGCACATTTGTAATTCCAGTACTTGGGAGGGCGAGGCAGAAGGATTGCAAATTTGAAGCCAGCCTCAGTATTTTGGTGTGACCGTAAAGGGCTGGAGATGTAGCTCAGTGATAAAGTGCCCCATGGGCTCAATACTCAGTACAAAAAATAATAATAATAAAACAGAGAGAAAAAATACACAGAATAGAATATATGTGGCCCATAAGTGTTAAAATATTTATTCTCTGGCCCTTCACAGAGTTTGTCAATTCTTTAGAATGTAAACACTAACTTTGAGAGTCTACAAATTAAGGTTTCAAACAATCAGATCAAAAACTGGGTGGCTGTAGTAACTAATGATGTTCCTCTAGTCATGGTCTGGAATACTGAATAGAAAAGGACATTCCCTTCATGTATCTGTTTGCTTGAATTATTGTAGATAAAAATTTTGGTCTGTTGCAATCGTGTTATCATCTGTTCTGTTACTGGGATTGTAACTGAGAGCAGGAAGGGGAACTCTCCTAAAGCCAACTATCTTCTGGATTACACAACACAGATACTTGCCCCCCAGCAAGAACAACCCCAACCAAAACCAAAACCGAAAACTCTGAAAACTAGGAGATTTTTTTCCCCATGTTTTTGCTTCAAAGCTCACTTTTGTGGGAAAATCTGAATGAAACTGACTTGGGCTGTTGGTTGCCTTGAGCCACCCAGTGTGGCTTCTGGTGCCTTTCTCTGCAGAGGACTGATAATGTGCAACTGCCCTTGAGTGCACACTCTGCCGAGTGTGTGATGAGTGAGTGTCCGCATGCAACCTTCTAACCCTGACAAATTCTGAATGCTGCAGCTGGCCCAAAGGCTTTCAGTAAGGAACTATGGACCTATATTCCAATTCCTACATTAATTGGGATTACAGCAAAAGGATGTCTATGCAGATGTTTCAACTTTGAAGACAGTGATTTTTTCACTCACATAAAATACTGCCCTTCATTTTTTTTGTGTGTGTGTGTATGTGTGTGTGTATGTTTGCAAACAGCATAAGCCTAGCACCTGTTCCAGTAAACAGGTAAATACAGTTTACTAATAGGTTTTTATTTTAAGAGGGATTATGGCTGAGCATGGTGGTATACACCTGTAATCTCAGCTACTCAGGAAGCTAAGGCAGGAGGATTGCAAATCTGAAGCCAGCCTGGGCAATTTAGTAAGACTCTCGCAACTAGCAAGATCCTATCTCCAAATAAAATGGGCTGTCTCAAAATAAAAATAAAGTGGAGCTCAGTGGGAGAGCACCCTTGGATTCAATCCATAGAACCACAATAAGTAAATAAATAAATAAACCAAGTATAATGGTGCATGTCTGTAATCCCAATAATTCAGGAGGATTGCAAGTTTGAGGCCAGCCTGGACAACTTAGTAAGACCCTTAGCAACTTAGTGAGATCCCATCTCAAAATAAAAAAAATAAAAAGGACTGGGAATGTAGTTCAATGGTGAAGTACCCCTGGGTTCAATCCCCAGTACCAAAAATAAATAAAAAAGGGACTGTCTACAAAGTTGTAGCATCAGGGTTACAAACACTACAAACATAAAAATAAGGTTTTTGTTTTTTTAGTGCTAGGAACTTAAACTCATGGGCGCTTTGCCACTGAGCTACATGCCCAGTCCTTGTTATTTTTTGTTTTGAAACAGGGTCTCATTAAATTGCTCAGGGCCTCATTAAATTACTGAGTCTAGCCTTGAACTTGAGATCCTCCTGTCTCAGCTTACCAAATTGCTGAGGTTACAGGCGTTCACCACTACACCTGGTAAAAATAAGAATTCCTAAAGTTATACACATGCTTCTCTCCCATTGTTGTCACTGCCAACTTAAATAAATAAATTTAAAAATCACTGAGAGCCTACTATGTGGTAGGCACTAAGGTGGACCCATTAGCAAACAGAATAAGCACCTTCTTTTCTAAGAAAACAATGCTTTGCCTGCAAGTTGAAACATTCCTGTAACCTCAACTACTTGGGAGATTGAGGTAGGACAGAAAATTGGAGGCCAGCCTCAACAATTTAGGGAGACTCTATTTGAGGCCAACCTCAGCAATTTAGGGAGACCCTGTTACTTAGGCTTTAGCAACTGGAGTCTCTCTAAGTTGCTGAGGTTGGAGATGTAGCTGTGGGTTCAATCCCCAGTACCAACAACAACAAAAAAGCGGTTAGAAGCTAGGTGCAGTGGACCTGTAGTCCCAGGATTCAAAAGGCTGAAGCAGGAGCACCACTTGAGCCCTGGAGTTTGAGACTAGCTTGGACAACATAGTGAGTGAATATACAAAGTGCCTTCTACAAACCGTGTAGTATTGTGGATGCTAGGGATTAAGCAGCAAATAAAGCAGAGGAAAATCTATCTTATCAAAAAGCTGGCATCCTGGTGGAAGGAGATAGATAATAAGTTGTTGGGCTGAATGCTGACCAGTGCCTAGGGAAGCCTGCAGTAAGATAAAGACTCTAAAGAATGTGACAATGAAGAAAAGGAGAGGGGGAGTTTGTTGCTTCTCTTATCTCCAGCCTTTAGGTGAGAATCAAAACTGTGACCTTGGCTGCAAATAAAAGAATGTATTCATAAAACTTCTGAAGACCTGCACCTGCGCAGTGGGCCTGCAGCCTGTCCTCTACATTCCCCTGCTTGGAGGCTGTCACATCCCTGCTGCCACCAATGAGTGGATACATAATAAAATGTCCAAAACTTCTCTCTGTTGAGGCCTCCAAGTTTTTTCTTTGGACCAGTGAACAGTATGATTGGGGTGCTGCAACCCTGGAGTTGAACATAAGCAAAATAAAGAGTAAGTTTAATAAATAATTAATATAAAGCAGAGAATAGGGAGACTGGCGGAATGCGATTTTAAATAGAATGATCAGAGATGGCGTTACCGACGAGATGACGTCTGAGAAAACTGATGGATGAGAGTGAGCCTTGTAAGTCTTGAGGAAGGAAGGGGTCCAGGGAGAGGAACAGCAAGGTCCTAAGGTAGGAGAGGGTCTGGTAACCAGGAGAAATACCAAAGAAACCAGTGTGGCTGAAACAGAGTAAATGAAAAAACAGTAGAAGACAAGGTCAAAGAGGTGGGAAGAGGGCCTCGTGGATCACGTGGACCACTGTAAGAACTGGACTGGGGTCTGAATGAAGCAGAAAGCTTTCACAGACTCTTGAACCATTGGATAACTAATACTTTTAAAGGAATAGTTTAGATATTCCTTTCTGCTATGAAGGCACTGGGTATGAAAGAACACCCAGTAATTTCCCCTGGTCTAGGAGGTCGCTGAGGGCCTTTCTGAAGAACTATCTGTTAGATCTGAAAAACTCGTTAATACTGTGGAATAGGAACCTAGGGAAAAGGGAGGTGGCCCTCCAGATAAGAGGACTAGTGATAGCCAGGAGAAGAATGAGTGGAACCAGAATAATCTCTATCTACTAAGGGTAAATAATATTCCAAATATTATTGAAGGATTTTAAGCCAAAGAATAACATGAGGTTTTATAAAGACTCTTCTTTCTATTTTCACTTGTTGTTGAGCCCGAGTGAGACAGGTTCTTGCTGTGCTGCCCAGACTGGTCTCAAACTCTTGGGCTCAAGTGATCCTCCCACCTCAGCCTGCTGAAGCTGCGACTGCAAGCACATGCCACCACTATTGTTACTTGTCAATAGAATAGGCAGTGTTTTTAAACCACGGGTCATAACTCATCAATTTAGGAGTCTCCAACTAACTTTTTCTTTTTTCTTTTTTTTAGTGAAATAGAATAGAAAATAATAGAATATCCCACAAGTTTTAAGTATTGTTGCTGGAAACGATTCCATGTGCAAATACGTCCAGAGTTTTGAAAGTCACTTGATTAGAAGGAAGGATGTTTCAAAGAGGACAGCAGGGTAGGAACATGCGGCAATCCTATTACAGGTATTTCTGGTTGCTGAGACCAGAAAAGGGAGAGAAACCAAAGGGCCTGGAAGTTTTGAACCCACTATGGATGCTGGGTCAAGGGCAGTTTCAGAAACCGGATGGATGGCAGCAATATTGCTGACCTTGTGAAGGTGAGTAGCGGGGATGAGTTTTCAACGTGATGACTGCAAGATTCCACAATGGAGATTTTCAATTTAGAATACATGATGAGTCTGGATACTGAGATTTGCAAGTAGTCAACAACATTGAAGAAAGTTGTTTTTTTTTTAATTCTTGGGACAAACTTTAATCTTGGGACAAACTTATACTTTAAAAAAGTTGCTTATTGGAAATTTACATTCAATGGGGCATCTTGAATTTTAATTTGCAATCTTAATTAGAGTTCAAATTCCCTAAGAACAGACAGACACACTAGTTAGGACACAATGACAATAATCCAAGCAAGAGGGGGGATAAAATTCTAATAACAAGTGTTTCATAATGGATTCATTGCTTGATTAGTATAAATGCAAAATAGCAAACACAAATTTGAATAATTAAACTTTAAACTAATTAGAAGCATCATGATGTCCTCGAGAGTCTTCTTTCATCAGGATCAGGATGTGTACCTGGAGTCTCAGGGTGTATGACTGACTGCTGTGTGGTTCAGATTGACCAGGGCTCAGCTGGCAGCTGCATCCTCTTGCAGAACACATACCCTAGAGAGGGAACTAACACCCAGTTTGGCTGTCCTAAAGGGAATTATCTATAAGAAGACAGTTCTCTTTACATTTTTACTTTAATAGACCTCGGTGTTGAACTTGACATTAAAACAAAAACTAAATGGGCCTATGTTGATATAGCTTTCCTTTAGGAAAATATTTAATCCACATGTATTTTCAATATGTAGACTTGGCTTTTAAAAAAAGTCACTGAAAAACAAAATAAAGATGCAACACATCAAAACTATTTCAAAATACATGATATTTTCTCCTTCCAGGATAGCTGTGCTCCCACTCTCTGGAAGTTTTGTATTTCACACTATAAACAGAATTGCATGGCCTTGATCTCACATGGAGCACTGGGCACTGGCTCCAGAGGGCTCCTGGAAAGGAGAGAGTGAACATTTGTATTCACACATACACATTCTCAGAGCAGATTGGCAGCTTCCACAATGATCGCTTCTTGGATTTTTGCAGGCCCACATCAACTAGGCTAGATTGAAGAAGTACACCCTTTAAAAATAAGTGACAGGGCTTGGAGGGCCATGGGTAGCTCAATAGAGAAGTGTGCAGAAGCAGGCCCAAAACTCTGGGTTCAACCCCACACATAAATAAATAAATAAATAAAGTGACTCAGGCTTTTAAACAAATGTATGGACTCCATTGTTTGGAAATGACCTCCGGCACCATAGCCCAACAGATGAGACCAAAATGAAGACACTCCAGTTAGAGTTCACCAAACCAAAACTAAGTTGTTATCTGACCTTCAGAGAAATGAAGAGAGGGAGGGAGGGAGAGGAAGAGAAAAATAAAGAATAAAAATAAACAGTCAAATCTCTAAACAGGCCAATTTAAGCCGGCATAAGGAAGTCCCTTGCTTTAACTCTTAGAGGGTAAGGAACCTGAAGTAACCTGATACTGACCCTTCTGCTCTTTGTATTACACTGCTTCTTTGTTGCTTCCCAAGCTATCTTACAAAAACTGACTGTTCTGCTTTGCCCAGCATACGTTTCTGTTTTTTTTATTATTTTTTAATTGTTCAATTTTTGTTTTGACAGGGGTTTGAACCCAGTGATGCTTTATCATTGAGCTACATTCCCAGCCTATTTGATTTTCTATTTTAGAAAGGGTCTTGCTAAGTTGCTTAAGGCTTCACTAAGTTGCTGAGGCTGTCCTCAAATTTATAATCCTCCTGCTTCAGCCACCCCAGTCACTGGAATTACAGGCATGCACCACCATGCCTGGAATTTGATCAACTATTTTTTTTTTTTTCAGAGAGAAGAGAGAGAGAAGAGAAAGAGAGAGAGAGAGAGAGAGAGAGAGAGAGAATTTTTTATTTTTATTTTTTTAAAGAGAGAGGTGAGAGAGAGAGAGAGAGAATTTTTAATATTTATTTTTTAGTTTTCGGCAGACACAACATCTTTGTTTGTATGTGGTGCTGAGGATCGAACCCAGGCCGCACGCATGACAGGCGAGTGTGCTACCGCTTGAGCCACATCCCCAGCCCCAAGAGAGAATTTTTTAATATTTATTTTTCAGTTTTCGGTGGACACAACATCTTTATTTTATTTTTTATATGGTGCTGAGGATCGAACCCAGCGCCCCGCGCATGCCAGGCGAGCACGTTACTGCTTGATCCATATCCCCAGCACCCCCCCCCCAAAAAAAAACTAGAGCCTACTAAAAAACTGTTGAATCTTTTGTTCAACTATTTGGTAAATATTTTTAAAAACCCTATAAATTGTTTTATGAATTTCCAACTCAATGTTATGAATTAAACACATCTAAATAATACTTAAATATACACAATACAGTAAATCAAAGTGTTTCACAAATTATCTAGAGCCCTACTAGACTGTCAAAGAAAAACTTATTTATGACACTAGTTAATAATAATATTAGGGATTTTATGGAATGTCTACTACAGTGGGGTTCTGCAGTAGGGGAGAAAAATCAGGCTTAAGCCAAATATAATAAGAGAAAGTGGGGATTTATAGCCAAGCAGCAGTGCTGGTGCAGATGGCTAGAAAATCACTAAATAGAAGCATGACAGTGAAGCGAGGATTCTGGCTAAACCAATCTAACAGGATTCTTCCTGAAGTCAGGCCAGGGTAATTAGGTTATTACCCAAAGGAGGGTGGAGGATAAGATTTCGAGTGATGAAATATCAAGGCGGGAGATTATGCAACTAAGAAAGCCTTTTAGGTGTGTGTGGTAGGGGGCTGATTTAGGCAATATGAGAACCCCAGTTTCTGGTTCCTGAGGCCTCTGTTGCATGACTTTGGATGACACAATGATTTATCAAAAGGTCTTCAGGAAGACATATGTATACAGTAAACTGACAGGACTAAGCTAAGATCAACAGTCAACCTGCCTGGGAGCGTCCCACTCAAGTGGAGTGAGTGAGTGGGGTCTAAAGTCCAGTTCTTCAAAGTGGGGTACCTGTAACCTTCTAGGAATTCACAGTCACAGACAGCAGACAGCTTACAGAATGGGCTCTACTGGAGAGAAAGCTGCAGGGGTCTCTGGTTCCCTTTCCCACATCTCCTTTCTTATGCAGAGGTCCTAAAGTCACTTTACAAAAAAAGCAAAAGCAAAGCCCCACTGGGAATTTACACTTTCCAGGTGCTTGCTCCAGGGATTAACACCTCCAGACCACCAAGGAACACATGCCATTTCTTGCCATTTCTCTCTCACTCTCTATCTGACTCTCTCAAATTCAGAATTGAGGTTGCACAGACGTGAATGCAACCACATTTATTACAATTTAAAAAAAAAAAATTAAAATGAAGTCAGCCTCTTCCTAACAGAAAAAGTCAGTCTAATTTGACCAGATATTTTGCTCACTTTCTTTATGTCTGACCCAAATGAGGCAAATCTGTAACTACGATTTGCGGGAAAAGGTATTCAGAACATACAAGTCATATCAAATAGATCCTTTGTATAACATGTTCAAATGTTGACTTAAAAATGTGCAAACAGATTCAAGTCTCATAAAAATCTTTAAATCTTGGGCTGGGGTTGTGGCATAGTGGTAGAGCGCTGGCCTAGCATGGATGAGGCCCTGGGTTCCATCCTTAGCACCACATAAAAATAAATTAATTAATAAAGATATTGTGCCCAACTACAACTAAAAATAAATATTCAAAAAAAATCTTTAAATCTTATGAGGCCCAAAAGTTTGAAGACCACTGGTCTAAGTAACTTAACGTAAGAACAGGTCTATGTAGCTTCTGTACATGATTTGATGACACACACAGGTAACACTTATGTTAAAATGTCTAGAACACATCAAGTAAGAAATCCCTTTCTTCATTGTCTCTTCTTCCAGCCTTCCCCTCTTTCCAATCAAACGTTTGAGAAAATTGAGGCCCAGGAAAGCTGAACTGTCAAAGGTTCTAAGGGAGTATCTGGTCAACAAAGGAACACAGATACTTCCATTTCTGTCTCTACTCAGTTCTCCTAACATCAAATTCAGAATTTCAGCCACAGACTAGGCACTACAGCAAACAGACTGTTGGAGAAGGACATTATATTTTCCTCTTTATATTTTTTTATGTCATTTGACTGAGAAAGAAGTGGCTCTGGTTTGGGCAGCCAACTGCATGTGAAGTAACTGTTCTTGACCCACCAGGGACATCACTTCTCTTGGAGAGCTACTCACCTACCCACAAGACCAGTGTGGGCTGGGATTTGTCTGGATGCCTTCTGGTAAGCAAGGACACATTCCTATTTTCCCTTTATTTCTAGTGAAGTCTCCCTGCCTTTGGTAGTGTCATGCATTTCAGGGATTTTAGGGATCCCAGCGGGTAACAAGGACACCAATTGCTAAAGAAAGAAAATTTCTAATTCTTGATATTTAGAATTTCATTAAGTGGGGCTGGGGATGTGGCTCAAGCAGTAGTGCGCTCGCCTGGCATGTGTGCGGCCCGGGTTCGATCCTCAGCACCACATACAAAGATGTTGTGTCCATCGATAACTAAAAAATAAAATATTAAAAATTCTCTCTCTCTCTCTCTCACCCTCTCTCTTAAAAAAAAATAGAATTTCATTAAGGACTTACAGTCCTGCTTGGTAGAGTATAGGCAATAACATGAAATCATTGTATTCAGGAAATATGAACTAGGCTGCAATAGAAATTATCGTAGAGATTCCATATAAAATTTGAAGACTTAGATTTCATGTGCTAAAAGACATTTGTAGACTTCTTTGTCAAGGACTCCTTTCAGTGGAGTTTAGTGTACTACATTTCTGTAAAGTTCACATTTCTAACCTAATTGACCAGAGCTCCCTTGTGCACTGGTTTCTTCTAGACTCACAAGGTTAGACATACTCTGAGTGACTTGACAATATCTTCTGAATTGTTTTTGCAAAAATCTGAATTTCTCAAATTGTTTATTTCTGGCCCAATCCAGCTCACTAGCATAAGGTAGTGAGCTCACATACCTCCAAGTTTAACTCAGAAAGGGGATGGAAAGTACATAGATGGTGTTATGGTTTAAATTTCAGTTCCCTAAAAGTTCATATATGAGACAGCGCAAGAAAGTTTGGAGGAGAAATGACTGGGTTCTGAGAGTCTTAACCCAATCAGTGACTCAATCCCCTGATAGGATTAACTGAGTGGTAATTTAAGATGGGTGGGGCATGGCTGGAAGAGGTGGGTCCCTGGGGGCGTGCCTTTGGGGTATATATTTTGTCTCTAGAGTAGAATCTCTGCTCTCTGATCATCATGTGAGCTGCTTCTCTCTGCCACACTCTTGGACCATGATTTTCAGCCTCACCTCCTTGAGCCCCAAGGAATGGAGCCTCTACAATTGTTCTGGTTGTTCTTTTAGTCACATCAGCAAAAAAAGGTGGTGGTGGGGACTAAAACAGATGGAAAGCTTCACTCTCACATTCCCTACCTAAGGCAGACATTGGTCATCATTCATCCCACTTGTTGCATTGAATCCACATTCAGTGTCAGCTCTTCTCAACCCAATGTTCTAACCCACACAATCAACAAATTAAAATCAACCTCTGCATTGAAATCTTTTTGCAAGCCCAGGATTAGATTAAATCAGTAGAAAATCAACTTCTTGAGAAGTTTTTTTCTAATTGGTGAACAATAATTATACAGAATAGTAGCTTTCATTGTGGAGTACACATACGTGCATATAACTTACTTTGATAAATTTCATTTTGCAGTACATCTCTAAGATCTTGCCCTCCCCTCCTACTTCCTCCTGACCTCCTTTCTCTACCCTACTGGTCTGTCTTCTATTTTCATAATATCTCTCCCTCTTTTTTTTTAATTTTTCTATAGCTTTCATATATGAGGGAAAAACATACAACCCTTGACTTTCTAAGTCTGGCTTATTTTGGTTAACATGATGTTCATCAGTCTCATCCATTTTCATGCAAATGAAGTAGTTTTGTTCTTCTTTATGGCTGAATAAAACTGTGTTGTATATATATACAATATTTTCTTTATCCATTCATCTGTTGATGAACATTTGTTTGTTTTTTCATTCTTTGCACATTCTAGATACTAATCCTCTGCCAGAAGAGTAGCTGGCAAAGACTTTCTCCCATTCTCTAAGCACTATCTTCATGCTGTTGATTGCTTCTTTTGCTGTGCTGAAGGTTTTTTGTGCAGTGCCATCTTATTTATTGATTGTTAGCATTATTCCCTGAGCTCTAGGAGTCTGAGGAAGTCACTGTGTGCACCTGTATGTTGGACTGTTTCCCCTATATTTTCTCTTCTAGCACTTGAAAAATTTCTGTCTTATTCCAGTGTCCAATGTCTTTTATTCATTTTGAGTTGACTTTGAGAGATAGGGATCTAATGTTAATCTTTTACATATTTGTGTGTATGTGTGTGTATTTGTGTACCTGGGATTGAACTCAGAGATACTTGACCACTGAGCCACATTCCCAGCCCTACTTTTTGTATTTTATTTAGAGACAGGGTCTCACTAAGTTGCTTAGCACCTCGTTTTTGCTGAGGCTATCTTTGAACTCACCATCCTCCTGCCTCAGCCTCCTGAGCTTCTAGAATTACAGGCGTGCGCACCCAACGGCTGTGTTTTTTAATCTGGGGATGGGAGTGTGACTCTGGTGAGAGCTGCTGGCCATCACTGTTAGCCAGTGAAAAGTATATTGTAAATGGCCTTTGGGTCTTGGGTACACACACACACACACACACACACACACACACACACACACCACAGAATAAAGCAAATTAAAATTTAAAAATTGAGAGAGAAAAAAGATAAACAAAGGAAAACTGCAGAAGATTTCTAATTTCCCACTCAGAAATTCCAAAGAGTCCTCTTCAATTGGCACTGCGTCTCCACTAACTAAATCCGCTGAGAGGTGCCAGGACTCTCTCCCATGCTGACTTACTTTGCAGAATCTGAGCATTTTTCCTGCTCAGATTGTGCATTTGTTGGACAGTGGAGCCTGTTTTTGTTAAACTCTCTGGAAAACTTTCTTTCAGGTTGTTGGAGGGAAGTTCCTCCTCCCCCACAGCACTTCTGTAGTCCATTGCTTTTATTAATTCTATTATTAAAGCTGATGTTTCTGGGTTTTACTTGGTTACTTATTCTCTGAGTTGCCTTCTGGTGCTTTCCCACATCCTGCCTACCTTACCATGCCACCACAGAACTGGCACAATGGCTCTATTCAATCTTTGAGGGCTGTTAAGGTGGGTACCTTTAGTCCACCTTATTTATGGTCTCTTAATGTCATGTTCCCAATAGTAACAGTGTTTTTTAAAATATTTTTTAGTTGTCAATGGACCTTTATTTTATTTATTTATATGCCATGCTGAGAATCAAATCCAGTGCTTCACACATGCTAGGCAAGCTCTCTACCACTAAGTCCCAGCCCCAGCCCCAGTAACAGTCTTTAAATAGCTCCAAAATTTCATCTCTTTGTTTAAACTACACATTAGAATTCTAATTTATCTATGAGTTTGACTTGTATCAGGAAATAATTCATGTGGAGGGATAGGAACAATTTACCTACTCTCTGTTTTCTCTTAAGTCTCTTTGAAATGAAGAGACCTGTTGTCTGCCTCATTTTTTTTTTTTTTTAATATATATACCAGGAATTGAACCCAGGTGTGCTTAAGCCACTGAGCCATATCCCCAGCACTTTTTATTTTGAAACAGGGTCTTCTTAAGTTGCTAGGGCCTCACTAAGTTGCTGAAACTGACTTTGAATTTGTGATCCTTCTGCCCCAGCCTCTCAAGCCACTGGGATCATAGGCTTGCACCACCATGCCCAGCTCAATTTTTCTATTATGGCTGGGTTGGTAGTGTAGCCTGTAATCCCAGCTACTTGGGAGGCTGAGGCAAGAGGATCACAAGTTTGGGGGTAGCCTGGCAATTTAGCAAGACCCTTTCTCAAAATAAAAAATGTAAAGGGCTGGGGATGTAGCTCAGTGGTAGAGTGCCTCTAGATCTAATCCCTAGTGCCATGGGAAATAAAAAAAAAAGGAAAGGGTAAAAATTATAGTAAGTTGGCTTTTAGGATCTTAGTTTTAGTTTAAGGCAGGCATTATATATGCTTATATTTTATCTGACTTATCCATCTTTAAAGGTTTAAAATATAATTTTTGCCTAGTTAGTATTAAATAGTGATTTATTTCAGAACTGTAAGATTACTCACATATAATGAATAAACACTTTGGAAAAGTAATTCAAAATCTTAAGTGCTTTTTAGGATTTTAGAACCTGAGGGAAGAATGTTAGAGTTAGTAACAATCAACATTTTCCCAGAAGAAAACATGAGTTCCTTTATAAAAAAGATCCTGTGATCAATTAAGTTTTAAACCCTGAATCTGATTTTCCACTCAGCTATTCCCAGGATACATCACCATGCTAAAGGTCAAAATATCCCACAATAAATAGATAGGTCTAGTCAGTTCTGCCTACTTTGGTAAATAAACAAATAGTTGTATTCATTTCATTCTTTAGATGATGGTACAAACTACAGAATACTAAAACTAAAAGTGTTAAAAAATTCAGATGTATTCCCATCTACCTTTAGCTTAAAGCTATAAATGATCCACTTTTTATGTTAAGCCTGTGATTAAAATATGTAACTAAGCCAGATAAGGTGCGACACGCCTGTAATCCCAGCGATTTTGGAGACTGAGGCAGGAGAATCTCAAGTTTGTATCCAGCCTCAGCAATTGTGCAAGACCCTCAGCAGATTACCTATACCTTGTCTCCAAACAAAAAGTTAAAAAGGACTGGGGGCATGGTTCAGTGGTAAAACACTCCTGGGTTCATATCACTTACCTCAAATTGAAGTGTTCTCTTTGTGAAAATTTTCTGACATACCTAAAAAATGATGATGAAAGGCCAGATCAGCTCAGTATCTATAAAACACTTACCTCTAGCTTCTCTATAACAAGGCCAAAATGTAAAAGGTATTGAAGAAAGTCAATAAAACAAGGAATCAAAGGAGTAGAGTGTTTGGGCCTTCTTCACCCCTCCCTATAGTGGAAAGAAGCATATAACATCCCAACTTCTCTCAGAAAGGTATATCTTTATGAAGGGGAGACAGGTACCTCACTTTCCAGTGCAAGAGTCATTTATCAAATGGAAAAATTTAAAAAATAAATAAATAAAAAGATCAGAGTGCGGAAGCTCTGGGTGAGGGTGTGCCGGTAGAGATAGGGTGGTCAGGAAGGCCCTGCTGATAAGGCAACATCTGAGCTGAGGGCTAAAAGTGAGGGAGCATGTGTGCTGATAGCTGGGGCAGGGCTGGGTTTCGTTTGGTTTTGGGTGTGGGCATTGAACCCAAGTCCTTGTGCAGGAACAATAAACCTAAAGGCCTTTGGTGGGAACGTGTTTGATATGCTCTGGGATGGAGAAGAGGCCAATGAAGATGGGAAGAGGTGAGCAGGAGGTAAGTGGCAGAATTAAGGGGAGAGAAAGGAGTTGCTACTTACCACCATGGAATAAGGAGCAAAGTAACTGAGAAAAATCACACCCCATGCCTACTATGGGGGCCTGAGCCTTGGGTCCAGCCTGAACTGGGAAGTAGCGCACAAAGGGAAACCCTGAATTCTATGTGAGATGGACATTTTCATTTAGACTGAACTGTAGTTTTTTGTTTTTTTTTTGGATACCAGGGATTGAACTCAGGGCACTGAGCCACATCCCCAGCTCTATACTTTTGTATTTTATTTAGAAACAGGGTCTCACTGAGTTACTTAGTGCCTTGCTTTTCCTGAAGCTGGCTTTGAACTTGCAATCCTCCTGCCTCAGCCTCCTGGGTTTCTGGGATTATAGGTCTGTGCCACCACATCCAGCTGTACTTGTCTTTAAATACCTGAAAGTAAGCATTAAATACCCCAAAGACCAAAAAGCTATGGGATTTGTTTGCAAGGTTATTTACAGGGTAGGAATGAAGGCTAGAGAAAAATAAACCCACTCCCCATTTGTACCCCCACAGGTTATCCCTTTCAATAAACTGCTTATTTCCTTAAATAGTTAAAAACTTTACAACCCATCTGTGAACTTAATTTAATTCAGTAAACTGTTTTACACACACATTAACAGACACTTGGCAATATTTGCTGTATTAGTATTAGTAGATTAATAAGTCAGTTGGTAGAATAAAAACATTGTGGCACTAGATTAATGGTTAAATTAGAGAGAGCTGAAGTAGGAATTAACCTTCTAAATTGTATAATTCAACATTTGAGGTTTTATACCTTACATATGATCTCCTGACCTTTAATCAGAGTCACCTACAAAGAACTCACTGTGTACTTGTTAAACAGAATCAATAAGCAGACTATAGCATAGAAACTGTTGCTGCTTGCTAGCTTTCAATGTGCAGTATGGGATTTAGAAAATATGACAGCGCTTTATTATAAAATGAAATAAACGGAACAGGAACAGAATAACACAGAGAAGTAACACTTTTTAAAAATAAATCACTACATCGGCTATTTCTGTTTCCATATTAAGTAAAATGACAGTTTATTTCTTTTGCACATAGAAGAAGTCTAGAACCTGATAGTCCAGGGCAGGTGTGGCAGTTCAAAGGTCACTGGGAGCAAGACTCTTTCTATGGTACTGCTCTGGTCATCTTTGGTGCATTACCTCATGATTCAAAGTAGTAATCTGAATTTGACCCATCACATCTATATCTTGTTCAGCAGGACAAAAAAGATGGCATTCTGGTGGACACTTCTCTTAAGTCCTCATGTGATGCTTTAGTTTATCAAAACTAGCTACAAGGAGCCTAAGCATGGTAGCATATACCTGTAATCCTAGGGACTTGGGAGACTGAAGCAAGAGGCTCTCAAGTTTCAGGGACAGCCTCAGCAACCCAGAAAGACCCTAAGCAACTTAGTGAGACACTGTTTCAAAATAAAATAATAAAATTGGGATAGGGATGTAATTCAGTGGTAGAAAGACTGGGAACCTTAGTATTGTATTTCTATGGGGGAAAGGAAAATGACTGGAAGTCAGAGGCAACTAGCTGTTTCTGCCTCACCTTGTTTCTGCTAAAGATCTGTTCATGGGGTTAAGTTGATACTGTTTGTCAAGGAGGACTACTTGGGCTGGGGTTGTAGCTCAGTTGGTAGAGTGCTTGCCTTGCATGTATAAGGCCCTGAGTTCAATCCCCAGCACCCCCCCACACACACACACTACTTAATTTCTTATTTCTACATATCAATTTGGTGTGATTACACAATTTCTTATTTCTACATATCAATCTGGTATGTTTATAGATCTATTTACTCTACTTCTGATTACCCTCACTAGCTACTTGTACCAGCTCCAAAAATAAATGTTTAGTTATTTAACCTTTCAATATACTCCCTGCTTGTCCCTCCAGCTACACCATTCTGATTAATTTGTCATCTGTGGAAAATCAAATTGATTCAGTAAACATGTCCTGAAAGGCATGTGCTATGATGGTGGAATAGGAGTAGTCTTCAGATCAGACTCACCAGATAAGAATGATAATAAACATCCCTTGAGGATGTTTTTAAGGGTAAATATAATAACATGAGAAATACCCACATGTCCCTATATGCTCCATATCACTACTCTATAATTCCCTCTTTTTCTGGGGCACCTGTGATGGGCACCATAAGGGGCATTGTGGTTATTAAATGATAAGACATACAAGAAACATATGACATAATGGAGGAATCCAAGAAAAAGCAGGACCTGCAGAATAGGTGCAACATGAAAAATAATGATCTCTCTCTCTCTCCACTGCCACTGAAATTATAGAAACATTATCTCCTGGAAAATGAAATGAAAATTTTGTGTGTTTAATTTGATGACTAATATTGACATGTGGGCTACCACATGGTGAATGAACAGGGGCCCATGAAAGGCTTGCAGTGGCCTAATACATACTTCTGTGAAGTGACAGAGAAGTACCCACATAGTACTTGTTGATTACCTTGTGAACATCATATATTACTTTAGATCAGAATTTGAAGCTAAAACAAATTCATAATCACATTACAAAAACTCAAGCAAAAGTCATTTTCTTTATATCTACATGTCTTTAAAGCATAAAACAATACAAATTATGCATAATTCAGTCCCCATTTCATTCAATGTAGAGATGGTGCTTAGGATCTTTACATACCTGACTCAGAGTAAGAACTGGGGATGTGAAGATGAATAGAGTGATATTTGTCAAATGGGAAAAAGACAAGTGAACTGATACTTTCAATATTAAGTGATTAATGCTTCAACGAGGGGAGATGTCCCAGGGTGCCATGTGAGTTCAGGGGAGGGACAGCCCACCCAGACTGAGTAAGTCAATGACAGCTGCCGGAAGGAATTGAACTCTACACTGAGGACTGGAGGAAAAGGAGGACTTAACTAGGTGAGGATGCTTTACTAAGTATAAGTGGTATGTCCATAAGGCATAGTGTATTAAAAACGAGGGGATTTGATGTGGCTGAAGAGGAATATGAGGATGAGATTTGCTAGAGCAAGATCTTACTTCATAGCATAGATACACACAGGGAAGAAATTCACACTATGATTCAAGTCATAGGAGTCTCCTGTTTTCTAGAAAAGTCAGAGAGGGTAAAAGGATTAATTTTGTTATAGAAAAAAATTTTAATAAAAGAATCTGAGAAATTGCTATATAGTAACAATGTCCATCAGCTTTCCATTACAGTCACAAAATATCTGAAATAATCAACTTGAAAATGAAAAAGGTTTATTTTGACTCACAGTTCTAGAGGTTTCAGTCCATGGTTAGTTAGTTGGTTCCATTGCTTTGGGGCCTGCGGTAAGGCAGTATATTAGGGAGAGAGTGAGTGGCAGACAAAGGTACTCACCTGATAGCAGCCAGGAAAGAAAGAAAAAAAGAAGAAGATTAGGAAAGAGCTGGGTTCCCACTATCCCCTTCAAGGATGTCCAATGACCTGATCTTTCATTAGGTCTCATCTCTTAAAGGTTCTAATATCTCCTAATAGTTCCAACCTATGGACCAAGTCTTTAACACACAGGCCTTTGGGGGTCCATTCTAGACCAAAATTATTACAATGATACCTTTCCTAAACCCATCAGCTCATTTGGAAGAAGTATAGGCTGCAGGTACTCTTTCATTTGCATACACACATTCTTAAAAAATGTATACATTTCAATATGAGTGTTCTAACGTTTTAATAATTTGTGTTTAATTCTTTGCACCAGGTTAAGCATAATACATAAAGAAATGACCTTGCTTCTTTAAGGGTTTTAAACTTTGTATAACTGGCTTTTCTTATGTAGACTCTTGAAGAAGTTCAAGCTAATTAATTATAAGATATGTTTATATCGTTATCCTTTTGGGTAAGAGATCAACACATTTTAAACATAGTGTGATGGTAAAAATTGGTGCAATACTAAGAAATTATCTAGAAATTCTATGCAGTGACAATGTGATCAATTAATGAATTAGGTCAATTAATTATTGCCTAATTTTTCAGTAGGCGAGTCTGTACCTTTTAAAAATGTATATGAATTAAAAGACTTTTCTCTCTAGTTTGTATACAGATTTTATATACATAAATTCAATCCAGATACAGTAAAAACAATAAAAGTTTTATGATTTAGCAGATCTTAAAATATATTTAAGACACCTTAAGTTATTGAAGAAAGCATTTTAAAATTTAACAGGCTCTCTTTAATAGTAAAGAAAATGTTAGTACTTTGCAGAGAGGAGAAAATTTTCCTATTCCAGGGACATAAAGAAAATCAATTCCAGGTAGCATTGGAGGTACACACTTGTAATCCCAGCTACACTGGAGGCTGAGGAAGGAGAATTTCAAGTTTGAGGCCAGCCTGGGCAACTTAGTGAGAC